GCATCCCGAGCCTTCCTCAGTCGGCCATGGCCTTCAGTAAAGGTCTCTGTCGGCTGTTCCTCGTCAACACTCATAGAATCATCATCACCATCGTCAATATCAACGCCGTCTTCGCCTTCGGAAGCAGTAGTGTCTTCTGTATCAGTATCGCTGTCGTCATCAAACTCATCATCAATCTCTCGATCAGAGACCACAAAAGAGTCCAAAGAATCATCACTATCATCACCTTCTTCCTCATGCCGATGAATCCACTCTTCTACTATCTGACCACAGCCATCACCCACAAGCGAGCAGCAGCTCCCGACAAGATACCTGCTTGGCCGCGGGAAACACATCACAAATTGTGCGCTGAACACAATCCTTCCGCTCCGTGAAAGACCCCCCAATTATATCATCGAAGAAGTTACTCTTGAGTATAGCATCTGACAAGTGACTTCATCCGTCTTTCCACAATCATCAACCTACCCAAGCAGGCATTAGATTCTTCCACTTCTGATGGGTGATACATTCGCCGTACCATCGCTACGGCTTCGTCAACAGTATCGCACACATTCTCGACCAACTCCAGCACAAGCCTCCTTGCTTGCTGCGACGACAAATCGTATGGCTCGTGCCTCAATGTATACAGGGAGGCATCTTTCACACTCACCAAACCCGAACCAACCAGATCGGCAAAAATATCCACAAAGTTGCCATCGAAACTAGGGTCTTTCATGGCGAGACATATGAACTGCATTTTCTCTCGATTTGATACACATTTTCCAAGTCCTTCGTAGAACTCAGGTGACTGCAGATGACCATAAAGGACCAGCTCGTGACTAACAGCACGGAGGAGGTCGCGAGCAGCATGACGCCTCCGACCAAGTAGCTCGAATACAAGAGCTTGTATTAATGTACCTATGAGGAATTCATTATACACAAACAAAAACGACCAAATTTACCAAGGTGATGACTGCCCGGCGCAACTCCTGCTAGTGAATCGGCGTCAACATCATTGCCTTCGAGATCTGACAGACACGCGTAGTAGAAAAATGCCACACGGAGTGATAAGAAGAGTATATAGAAAACGATTATTTTCGATGAACGATTGAAAAAGATGAGTAATAATCAAGTCAAAACACATACCATCTCTGCCACAAGTCGGATGAAAAGCGACTATCCCACATGATAGAATACATCATCATAAGAGCGTGAGAATAATCCAATACCACTCGACCCCTACCACCCATCGCAGATGTCGAGAACTTCACTGCGGCTCTCTTCACTGTTCTGACCGCGAAATCGAATTCTATTTTGCACCACATCGTCGAAGCTTAGGACACCACCACCACCAGTTGCAGCGGGGGGCGTTGCCATAGGGATATCAAACAGCTGTGCTAGTGTGAAAAGATTGCGCTGTAAACACTAAAGGGGTTGAGGAAACGCGTAGATATCGTCTATAGGGATAACTGATAGTATAACGTGATGAGGTGATGAGAATGATTCAATGACGAATGACCAGAATCGTCGAGGGAAGCATTTGAATAATGGCAGTAGGAGTAGTAGCAGCAGTTCAGAGCTGATGGCGATAGTGGTTGAGAAAATTGACCCTGTAACAGTGGTGGCACAGCGACCATCTCCATCGTATGAGCACGACTGCAAACTACGAAACTTGACCAACAACAACAATAACAACGACAACAACCATCATCATTATTGTGTGATAGATGCCACTGCTGCTGCTGCTGCTGTTGGCACTACAATGCGCGATGAAGGACCTTATCGCGGGGATGCAGCAGCAACAACAACAGCAATGTGCAACGGCGGCAGCTGCGGCCACCACCACTACTAGAGTGGCAATACTACATAATGATACTAGCAATGGAGTGGAGAACATCCCTTTGAACAACAATGACGAAGACGGCGAAGACGACGACGACGACAACAGATAATATAATCTTGCTGCATACACCAACCAAGGTACGCCAAATGAGAATTGTGAATCTCAACGAACTGAACCTACACTACTGGTAGTAGGGATTCACCTACAAGAAGGGGGAAAAGCGTCAATTTTCTCACCATACAGGGGAAAACATAGAAAACAAGATGATTTACTACTTTCGTGGTCTCGCCAGAAATCATCAAGGAGTGGGATAGTCACCATATTGTCCATCGCTACAACTGATAATATAATGGGATTCAAGAATATGAAAACGATCTTAGCACTACTGAAATCATCACGTATTCATCAATCACCACAGCAGCAGCAGTTCTAAGTCGTTGAAACATCAGAACAACAGAGTCACAGAAAAAAGTTCACCGCAGCCTTTTAGTAAGGAAGCGATTCAGGTTTCTCCTCAGAAAATCGAAATCCACAAACAACCATTGCATTATGAACTGCTGCACCAAGGTACGAATCACTACTGCTACTATTATACATACAAAGGGAGGACAAAAGCCAATACATTTAATAGCCTCTTTCATCACGACTACTCTCCTCGACCTTCGGGTCTCGGCGCACCACAGCCACGTTTGTTACAGAAAGTCCGACGGGGATAATTCAAATTACCACACTCTAAGCACCTAATATAACCATGAAATGAATACACTATCATATCATAATACTCACGTCCAACAGCCTTCCGGTATGGGAGCACCCATGCTCCTTCGACCCTGCTCCGTTTCCATATTACTACTACTAGCAGCGGCAGCAGCAGCAACAGGTAGAGTAGGAGGGGGAGAACCCATCTGCCCCATATTGGGCACGACCATTGGAGATTGGAACCCGCTGGCATACATCGCCAGCTGATGAGCGTACATCGGGTCAACCTACGTGATACCATATCGCATTCAAGTGCTGTAAACAACTACCACTACTACTACTACTACTACTACTACTACTACTACTACTACTACTACTACTACT